TACTCCGCTCTTCAAACATTAATGCTTTTTGCTCCGACACATTTGCTTCCCGTATGCCTTCAATTTGGTCCCGAATTTTAGTATTTCATGTCTCCCTTCATAACCAGGGTTTCTGTCTACGTGCCATGACCCAGTGGCCAGTTCCTAGCGCGAGGGCACCGAGTGAATTCTTGCTGTCAAGGAAGTTGAGCTTTTGTGGTGGAAAAGCTCAGCAGCGCTGGTTAAAACGAGGAGCCAATAGTGCGTGCTCCTTTCATCATGCTAGTGTGTTAGCGTCGTAATTCGGCAGTTCTGCTGGTATGAAACATAAATTTGACGTGGAAGAGTAGTTTGACGAAATATCTGTTGAATTGATTGGTTGTGTTTTGGTCCAAAGCCTCTAAATTATAAAATCGAATCGATCCTCCGAGGCCTGAAGCAAATATTGACCGAACTAAGATGGGCCGCGCCTGCACAGCAAGGGGCTGGGGCTGCGCCGCGCTACGCATAGTGGTCTCTTGGCTATGTTCTAGGCTTTTATCTGGCAAATCTGGCAAATCATCGCTGGTCGCCATTTTGATGCTCGTGAAGTTCGCTGGGTCGGTGCCGTGAGGGGTTCTGCGGGCGCGTCACGCGGTTATGAGAGGGGAGGTGTATTACTGGGTGCTGAACGTGTTGTAGTGATCGCTGCTAAGCAAGTTTTGCGTCAATGTTTTACTCAATCGCCTGGAGACGAGTGAGGTGAGTTTCGCAGTCGGCACTGGGTAACTGCATGTCTGTATTGGCCGGCGCGTCACATTCGAGCCCGCAATCTTTTTCATCTCCTTTAGCGAATTTTGTGATAAGTCGCATTGGAATCTTGTTCGAATGTAAGTTATTTTAACTCAGAAAGACATCCCTGTTGTTGGCTGGCATGAACAGTACTACTATGCTTCAGAATGTATTGTGATGTTACTCATGTGCTGTGTTTGCGATAGTTGGGTTTAAAGGTGGTTGGTTGTTTCTTGCACATGGTTTTATCTTACACATTAATTGTAACTTGATAATTCTCCTACCTTCTATGGTATCAGACTACAAGTTTAATTGATGAACAATTAACTGGGAATGCCTGAGTGGTTAGAAGTAGATTACTATGTAAGGGATCTTGATGTGGGACTGCAAAAGTACATGCCACATCAAATATGTCCATATCCAGCATAGCAGCAACATTGTTGTGGTTGCATCAGCACATGCATGTCTTAAATATGAGCATCCAGAGTTTGTTGCACAGTCACCACTAATTTGATGCAGAAAGCTAGTTTCAAGCATTAAAAAAGAATGGAGATAATTAAAAACAAAGTTTTAATCAATATTTCATGCAAAAATGGTTGGGAAGTATGCATATGCTGCAGCTCATACTCCATGCTCAGGTATTTGATGTGTAGGTGTGTGATGCAATGGATGTGTTTCAGAATGATCTGACGTTTGTGGGTATTTTTGCATCCCCGGAAATATTTTACTATAGGTTTATGGCCAGACTTAATGATATTTGCTTCAGCACAAAGCTGTGAACAAATAAACCATTGATATTTTAGATACATTTTGCCTTGAACTTTCTTTCATTCCTCACTAGAACAAAATTTCTAAGGGCAAAACAGACAACAAATATTGAGTGTTAAGATACAGCATTTAAGAAATACTGTGCAAGGTGTTGAGAATATTTTGCCCCAGGTAATACATCATATTTATATTTTTGGAGTTACAAGAAGTCAAATATATTATGCCACATTATGCATATCCATTGTATCTGTACATGCCTGATGTGTCCCATCCATTTCAGATCATGATGGACAGCCAGAAGTTTTGCCTTAAGTGGAACAATTTTCAGAACAGTGTGACATCAGTGTTGAGAATCTCAGACAAGATGAGGAACTGGTGGACATAACACTGTGCTGTGAGGGACATAAGATCAAAGCCCACAGAATGATGCTGTCAGCTTGCAGCCCCTACTTCAGGGACCTTTTGAAGGTAAGTTAATCTTTGTTAGCTTTGGGTGCTCTTGTGTCTCAAGGACTATTTAAGACTGCTTAGAGTAGTAGGGCATGTAACAGATACTTTTATAGGTGTGTGAGACAGAGCATATCCCTGAGTCAGGTTTTGGGATTTCTATGTGTGCATGTGTGTTGTGTGTGTGTGCATGTATGTCTGTGATGCAGCACTGTGGTATTGTCCAGCAGCTACATACATAACCTGTGCCCATATGATTCATCACTGTTTGTATAAAGAATGAATTGCAGGTAACACTTCATGGGCATGGATCATTCTGCTGCAAATGAGCAGTGTATCAATGCATAACTTGTGTATGAGAATATGCCTCCATGTGTATAACTTGCACGTCAAGATAATGGCCATTATGGAATTAGGTGTGAGCTCTTCAACTTGTTTGCTCCTTAATGCTTGAAATTTGTTGGACAACCATGATATAATTGATAACCTTGTAAGTATGTTGAACCTGTGATATACATTCATCCTGTCTGAGACTGGACATTTTATATCACTACTGGCAGCAGGAAAGCTACATATGGCACCCCCCTGGTTGTTGCAGCTTTGTTCCCTACTTTAATTGAAATAAATAATATGCCATGAGCTTTTGCTGCTTACCTTGAGCTAGCAAGTGTGCCATTTGATGGCTTAAAGTCCTTAAGCTACATTGGATTTGATTGGTCACACATTATTACAGTGGTTTAGTCCTTGTCAATTTTTACCACATGTTATTATGACCCAGTTAAACTGTTAGAATCAGCTGGCAGGAGTTTCAGCCAGCTGCTGCCAGCATACCCATGATGAAAACATTTCTGTTGAGATGTTTTTTCACACATGTGCAGACATCAGGCACCTCATAGAATGCATTATTGGGCATGAAATATGCATCCGTAAGCACTTGCATTTATTGGTGAACAGTATTTTAGCACACTACATGCTAATTTAATCATTTACAGCTCATTTAGATTGTGCTGTTCAAGGGCAAAATCAGTCAAATTTTATTTTTGCAGGACTGCTGAGAATGGTTTTTATAAAGAAATTCACATAACTGTTCTCTGGCCACACCAATGAGTTATCACACAGATCTGGCTATTTTTCATGAGATAAATGAAATCTAAGCCTAGTAATTTTATTTAATGAGGAGGTAAATTATGCTCATACAGTGCAGCTAGCACTATCCAGTACCATTGTATTTGTATCATACTTGTATTGCAGTGTCATGCCAGCTCTTGAGAAAACTGGCCAGGTCTACATGTAGATTCTGATTTGTTCTGCTTGACTCCCATCTATTGCATGTATGTTTTTAGCTTATTTAGATGGGGTGATGAGCTTGGATACATCCCTGAAATGCAACTGGACATTTGGAAAAACTGGTATCAGGTATTGCAGGCATCAATCATGTCATTGTTTCAGTGATATGTCAGAATTCGCCCAAATTAGAAGCAATTTGTGTAGTAACAATTTGTATCCACTATATACCATCAAATTCTGTTTTTGCTGGCTGTCAGGTTGTCAAAATACCAGACAGAAGGAAGTGGGAGGGGGGGGGAGGGGGGACAAAGGAGTATTAACAGATGCCACACAAAAAAGGCTGTGTGGGTAGCTCAATAGGCTAGCTCATACAGCAAGCATTGCCTACCATGTGCTGTGATCCAAGACAATGGTATAGACAATGATATTACATTTTCTGCAGCCATCATGTCCCATACAAATCACAGCTGTGCCTGTGTGCTGAATGCATTGACAGTCAGTGACAACCTACAGGAGAATAGTTTTGTAGATGTCAGCTGTGTGGCTGTGTCAGCATGTCAGCTTGGGCGGATGCATTGACGATGTGGAGCTTCGGTGCCCGCGCCTAACCAAGCATCCCCCGTCCGTCTGCCCGCAGGAGAACCCCTGCCAGCACCCGGTGTTCTTCCTGAAGGACACGTCCTACCCGGACCTGGCGGCCGTCGTCGAGTTCGTCTACAAGGGCGAGGTGAACGTGGCGCAGAGCCAGCTGGGCAGCTTCCTTAAGACGGCCGAGATGCTGCAGGTGCGCGGCCTCACCGGCGACGAGGACGAGGAGGCGCCGCCGACGCCGGCGCACCCCTGGCAGCAGCAGGTGCGTCCGGGCTAGGGCCACTGCCGGTCGGTAGCCGGCGCGGGTCACGGTGTCGCCAGGCCGTGCCGTGAACGGACGGGCCGCTGCCGGTCGGGAGACAGAGCTGCGGGGTTTCGGGCTCCTTGAAGGCTGTGGCGTGGGGCACCGTCGCTGAGTTGGTGCTGACATGTTCCCATGGCTCAAACAGTTCGGGTCATGACTATTGTCGGGCAAAACGTCTGAATGCTGATTTCCGATGCGATACAAAATCTGAGTTGTGGTGACTGTATGGCACCACCTTGCAATGGGGCTCCTAGCCCATGATTGGTGTTCTCTGGGCCGTCTGCAGCACAGACCGCAATGCATCAACATTCGGCACTCAGTCACATCAGTTCTCTAATGGTCCATTTCAAATAAATGCATTGAAGCAGCTGAGAGTCCCTTTCACCTCCAGCGTTTATCTTTGTATTGTTCTTCCGCTGGATAATTCTGGCTGGGTATGGGGACCGCGCCCCTGCTTGCCTCAGCGCGGGCTCCGGGTTACTCTGGGCGCGCGTTTGCAGAAGTCTCCGGCGCCACCGCGGCCGCCGGCGCGGCCTGCGGTCAGCTCGGCGCTGCAGCAGCAGCTGAACTCGTCCGTGGGCGGCCGTCCGCGGCCCAGCTCGCCTCCCAACAAGCGACGCCGCGTCTCTTCCTCGCCGGAGCGGCCGACCGCGCCGCCGCCCTCTTCCTCCGGCGGCGGCGCCGGGCCGCCGGCCGCCTCGCCCGCCGCCGCCCTGCCGGCCGGTCTGGCTCCGCCGCTGTCGCTGGCGTCGCCTCTGCCGCCACCGCCGCCTCCGCCGCCGGCGGCGGCACCGGCCGCGCAGCCGGAGCTGCCGGCGCGGACGGCCGGCGGTCCGGAGCGGGGCGCCGCCGAGCCGCCGGCCTCGCCGGCCAACGACGAACGGCCGCTGCCGCCGCCGCCGCTGGCGCAGCCGCGGCAGGACTACATCAAAGTGGAGAAAGTGGACCTGGCGGACGAGGACGATGAGAGTTTAGAAGCGACGTTTAGCCAGGTGTCGAGCTTCGAGGCGGCGCAGTTCGAGGGCTCGGACCAGTCTACCGGCTCGCACGATATGGCCGGCCTCCTCAGCAGGGTATCAGAACAGGGTAGGTCACGGGACACGCACGACGGCCACTTCGCCTCCGGCGTCGTACGGTCTGCACTGATTGTGTGCGCTTCATGCGGCTTGCATGCGCGCTTGCCTTACGCCGTCCAGCGTCACGTGTTATGTGGCGTGTGTTTCAGGTCGATGCCCCTCTGCACAGTTAACCAGTTGTACGTGGTGCGTGTGATCGCTGTGTATCGCTGGCAGCAGAGGGCGAGATGTCACGTCACGGTTGTTGGTTTCATTTGTTGATTCTGTCTGCCCGACTGACTTTCCATGAAAGCCAGCGCTCTATAACTCGACCAGGAAGTGGGTGGCGTTGATACCGGCCGCCATGTGGATGGCGTGTGTACATATCGCGGTTGCGTCTTAGTCTGCTGCGCGTGACCCTCCCTGTTGAAGTGTGCCCCTCTCGGCAGGTATCGGAGACATGTCGGCGATGGCGGGGCCCTCGGAAGACGGCGCGTCACAAGGTTAGCTCTCATTTCTCTATTTTGTCACAGGTGATGCTCAGACCCCAAACGGCGCGGCGCGAGGGGCTGGGAGGGCGGACGTGATCGGCTCGCGGGGGCGGCCGGATACTCGTGCGTTGCGAGCGGCGCCGAGGGCAGGGCTTGCGACCGAGGGCGTGGGAGGATGTCGCGCTCTCTGGCAGGGCACGGCAGCGTGATGGTCAGATGGGCTGGGCGGTCTTCGACGCGCGGACACCCTAAGTAGGGGGTGGGAAGTGGGGAGGGGCGGCGAAGAAGCAGTCGAAGGCGCTGTGGCCGCCCGTAGTCAGAGTGCCACATGGCGGCCGACGCCAGAAGTTAGAGCTGCCGGTAAGCTTACGTAAACAATGTGCAGTAGCGACCTCAATGTCACGAGTTATTTAAGATGCTCTGTACGTCCGCCGGTGTGTAGTACTACGTGTGCAGTTTGGCACGGCGTGTAAATATAGGCTGTACGGGATTATTATCGAATCCGCATGGAGTGTTGATTTCCAACGGCCGGATCACGCACGGGCTGGCGGGGCTCAGCCCAAACAAACATTGCTGCATAAGGGTCGTTCTCGTGGGCCATACGGAAATTGGCAGGGCTCATCAGTGCAGGTAATCACAAAGCGCTAGTAATCTAAGTATTGTAGCGATCTCTCGCGTCCGTGTTTTCTCTCGCGGCTCACCGGTTTATCGGCGCCACGGTGAGACGTGATGTCTGCGGTCCACATCCGGGGCTAGCAAATCAAGCGGCCAGGTTTTCGCGCGTCGGGCACATTGGTGCAGCCGTATAGTGTCATGCGTCGGTATTCATCTCACGGTCCGTGGCGGCTTCGGCACCGAGGAATGTGCACGTGCATTGCTGGCCTAGTATGGGTAGCGAGGGCGCGCGGGGACGGGTGTGCAGTGTTCAGTGGCACCGGATACAGAGTTCGGACGTTGCTCCGTGATGGCGCTGACGCGGTGCGGAACTTGGGCATGACGGCCGGGGCCAGTCGTGCCGTGAGCTGGCGGTCGGACAAGGCGCTGTTCCCGCGTGAGAGTCGTTTTTATTTTAATCAAACGTTAGTGAGGACGCAGATATCGGGAGCCGTTTGTCTGGCCTTTTGCGCCGCGTTTGTTGCGTTCTTTATTATTTGATATGAATGATCAGCAGCAGTATGAAATACGCCACTAAATGATGTAATGATATAATAATAAATGCGCCGTGGTGATGTACCCCACTACGTTCCTCGGCGGTACTTGCAAGTAGATCGCGGGGCGTGTTCCAAATTTCACGCGTGCCACGGACGTCGCGATCGCTATGTTGGTGACTGACAGCCCGCTAATGCCGGGCGATTGGTCACTCACGTTATCGCTGGTTAAAAAGCACAATAGGTCAGAAGTTTGCTCGCGCATCTTCGCAATAGCACTGCCAGGGCGTTCTGCAGACCGGTGTAACCGCCGACGACGTGTTAGCATTGGGTATTTGCGGTCGCGATTCGCGCGATATGTCTCAGCGCCGGTATTGGTGGGGGTCCCGAGCATCACCTGTCGACACACTTGTAGCGCTAGACTGTTGTTGGTATTCTCGTACACCAATCCAGGACTGCACCAGCTGCTAACGTAACGGTAACGCTCGTAGGTAACGTAACGGTAACCGGTCCTGGGGACGGCCTGAGTTTGATAGCGCTTGTGTGGAGTGGAACATGGAGCCTGTGTTTGGGTTGGGAATGTTTGAAATTATTATCGACAGTGAATTTCTGACGTTGATGCAACCTGCAAAGTTCTGTTCGGACGCAAAGTCGAAAGCACAATTCCACATTTGGGTAGCGAGCCGGCCGGCCGTCCCGAGACTGAGTCTGGTGTGGAACACCGCTCGGGTCCAGCCTGGTTGGGTCAGGTCAGGTCAGGCGGGTTTCTGCGTCTTGGTGCCCAGTGCGAGAATACCAGCAACGCTCCGCTCACTGGTGTATCCTGTGCGCCACGTGTCGGCCGTTCACGTGGCCGCCACGGGCCCGTGCCGGCGGCCGGTCCGGCTCTGGCGTCGCCGCGCCGCGCGGCTCGCTGCGAGGCGCTGCGCTTCGGGCGGCGCCGACCCGGCCCGTCGTCGTCGTCGTCGGGTCGCAGCGGCGTACCAGCGTCGTCCGACTCCTCGCTCAGCGTCGCTGCTGCCGCTGCAGGGTGGCCCCGCTGCGGCCGGTCCACCTGAGGTGTGACCGTCGGAGCGCCGAGGTCGGGGTGCCGCTCGCCGTCGGGGTGGCGGCCCCAGGTCGGCGGCGTCACGGTGTGCGGGCGTCCCGTGAGCGGGTCCACAAGCTCGCGCCGAGGGCGGGCCGCCTGGCCGCCCGCTTCGCCAAGACCTCGTCCCGAATCTGCCGGCGATAGCGTTGCGTACTGACGTTGGCTGCGCTGCTGTTGACGGAACAGCGCGTGTCGTTGCGGCCGCCTGAGTGGCGCGCTTCAGTGCAGTGCAACTGATTTTTGCTGCGCGCTTGGTCCCCAAATACCGATTTTCATCGCAGTATGCTGGCATTTACCAAGTTGGACGGGGGTCACCACCTGAAAAGGTGAACACAGAGTGAATGCTACGGAGGAATGACGTGACCAATGCCAGTGATCCCTTGCGAATCGGGCAACATACCATTGAGGCGCATTGAGCGAAGATGAAGAGCGTGTGCTAGGACGTTCAAATGAAGGTGTTGGCGAGAGGCAGCGTCGATGAGGCTTGCAAAAGATCCCTTCAGCTGATATTCTACTTAGACATAACCGATCGTGAGATCGCATAAACGAACGTTGGCTTGGCCATTTCGAAATAGCCTGCGGCCGGGGGCGGCATAATAACGTCTGCGCCCGGAGAGGGCGGCCTGCGCTGGTGCGGCGGCGTCTGAGCGGGGAGCGGGGAGCGGGCAGCCCGCTCTGGCGCCCCGTCGGCTGACACCCGCTGTGTGTGTGTTATAGGGGCGCCGCGCAGCTACCTGTGCCCGTTGTGCGGCCGCGAGTACACCAACCACCGCTCGCTGGATCACCACATGCACGTGCACACGGGCAAGACCACGTGTCTGGTGTGCGGCTCGGTGTACGGCCGGATCGGCACGCTGCGCAACCACGTGCAGCAGCGGCACCCGGAGGCGGCGCACCTGCTGGCGCAGCTGCTGCCCGGCCGGCCGGCGCCGCCGGCGCCCCCGCCACCGCCGCCGCCGCCTCCTCCGCCGCCGGCGCTGGGCTGAGGCTGAGGCTCGGCTCGGCGACTGTCGTGTGCGTGCGGGTCGGAGCCGGGCTCTGAGGGGACTTGGCGGCGCTGGAGCATCGGCTGAGTGACGGGGCGAGCCGTCATGGGACGCCGACTGGCTCGCGGCCAATGCCGGACGAACGGCAGGCGCTGGATTCTGGCGTATGCGACGTGTCTTGCTGATGAGCCTGGGCACCGCTAGCTCTGGTCGGAAGGGGACGCTGGTCTAGTTTTGTACCGCAGGCGGCCGAAGTGTTCTGTTTCTTGTTCTCGTTGCCGGCGCCGGCGTATTCTGGTGGCACTTCTGGTGACTAGGCAGGGTCGCGTCATGGGTCGAACACGGCCTCTAAGCTTCGAATGCCGATCTGAGAGAATTCGTCCATGGATCATGACTCGGTAACTGGACCGGTGGTTGACACTCTACGTGCTCAGAGATCAGCGGACGTCATTGTGACGCTGGAAATCACGGGGGGGGGACCATGACTGGGACTCTAATTCTGCTGGGTACCACTGGGTGAAGCAATCATGTAGAAGGCCTTTAAGGTACCAGCCAAGGTGTTTCTGCCCCCTGAAGTCGTTAGTCCGTTCTGTAGTAAATAGCGCCTCGTTAGGTCGTAATATGCAGTCATCTCTCCTGTGTAGTCCGTAGTACGTAAGGCCTGAGTCGGTCGGCCGGTGTCCATTCCACTATTGCCGGGCGTCTGGACGTTGCCGGCGAAGCGAAGGGTCATGCTTCCGTCAGCTGTCAGCGCGCGGTGTGAACGCGCTGGCGATGCTGATCTGGCCGCCGCCGAAATAAATGTGATCGGGTATAAACTGTATGTCGCCTAGCCACGGCGTGCGTCCGGCGGCGGCTACCGGCGGAGAGGCTCTGGCTGCCAGCGAAAGAGAGACAGGGGGAGAGGGCGCCGGCCGGCCTCAGTCGGCCGCCGTGCTCAGAGGGAAGAGGGGGCGCCGGCCTGGCTGGGTCGGCCACCGTGCTCAGGCTCAGAGGGGAGAGAGGGCGCCGGCCGGGCTGGGTCTACCGCCGTGCTCAGAGGGGAGAGGGGGCGCCGGCCGGGCTGGGTCGGCCGCCGTGCTCGGAGGGGAGAGGGCGCCGGCCGGGCTGGTTGGCCGCCGTGCTCAGGCGTCGGTCTGGCGTGTCTTTCAGAGGTGTTCCGGTGTGCGGTGTGCCCGCAGTGGTTCCGCACCAAGAAGTCGCTGAGCTACCACAGCGCCGTCCACGCGGGCAGCACGCGCTGTCCCGTCTGCCACCTGGTGCTGTCACGAAAGTTCGCGCTCAAGCGCCACCTGGCCACGCACCACGCCGCGTCGCCGCTGCCGCCTCGGCCGCCGCCGGCCGCCGCGGCCGACTCGTGGCTGGCGCTGACCGAGACGCGCCCGCCGCCGCAGCGCCTGTAGGGAGAGTCCCGGCGCTGGGCCGGGCTCGTGAGGCGGGCGGGCGGGCGGCAGACGGGACGGTGCAAGTCTGGCGATCGGGACGAGAAGTTCGAGTTATGTTCAGTGTTCTAGCGGGCGGCTGGGGCAACCGTCGGCCGGGAGCTCAGAGTCTGAAGTGTCCGGGTGTTTTTGATGCATGGGTGGGATGCTGAGAACAGGAATGTATCTGAGCAGCAGCCCAAGAGGGACTCGCAGGGGCCCTGTTTAGCACCGCCTTCCTCATTCTTTCCGTCCTTTAGTCAGTTGTCAGAGTCGTCTGTTGTCTGTTGCGTTCTACCCCGCTCCCGTGGTGGCTGTAATACAGTGTTGTGGTCAGGGCGAGTTTTTGGGCAGACGGCCTTCTAAT